ACCAATACTAGTTTTTGGGTATCGAGTACGAGTACCAATATTTTGCTTTCAGTACTCACTGAGTATCGGTGCTTCCGTTGGCATGGAGCAGGCTTCCCGGGCAATAAGGAAGCCGGGCAGCGGGTAATGAGATGCTACCCGGCTTCCTGACTGCCAGGGAAGCCGACTCCATGTTGTTTGGCCGGCTTGATTGTGAATGGCTGGGAGGCCTGCTCCATGCCAACGTAATGACCTGATTGGCGGCCAATCGGCAAGGAGCTGGCTTCCCGGCCAATCACCTGACCACGCTGACCTTTGATGCACATTGTGTGTGTGAGAGAGTTCTGCTGCCTAGGTACCACAATATGGCACACAGTGAAATGGCAGCAGGACTCAACACACACATTTGTATGCAAATGGCAGGGGCAGCGGAGTTGGTTTTAATTTTTTATTTTTTTTTATTTTATTATAATTTAACTTTTTTATAACTTTTAAAAATTTTAATTTTTTAATTTTATTCCTATCACATGGTGTTAAAATCCTCTATGTGATAGTTTGGAGGTGACAGGTTCTCTTTATGGAACCTGCCCTCCAACACGGAACTGATGTTCTGTGTAGTTCCTGACAGCCGAGACAGGTGGCGCTGTGATTACGGGGGGGGGGTTGGAGGAGACTTTTTTTTAAATGTTTTTTTTTATACTTAACAGGAGTACTAGTACATAGGGAGCTGATTACTAGTACATAGGGAGCTAACAAGCCCCCTATGTGATAGTCAATATACAATGACAGGTTCTCTTTATGGAGACATCAGTGGTCTCTAAGACCTCTGTCACCTGGGACCCCAAAAGAAGCTGATGAAGCAGAGATCTGTTTCACCAGCCTCTTCTCTGGCTAGCAGCCAGAGAAATGACAGCTAAAAGGTGGAAGTGATGTAATACACATCGCTTCCACCTTTAGAGATAGGAGGAGATATCAGCAGTGGGGAAATGCTGATCTCTCCTCCGTTCTCAGTGCTAGTAGCCGCTGTGCCAGTCCTGGGCCCGCAGGGGGGACAGCGAAGCCGGAAATAACCGGCAGCTGCATTGGAGGTGGGCGCACGCTGTTTAGTGTCATACAAGTGATCGCCAGCTGTAGAGCCGGCTGAACTAATGGATGTAACATCCGGTACCGGATTCTGCTCGTGTGCGGCCATAGGGGGCACGCACAAGCAGAAAAAAAAAAAAAATCACGCACATTAACGTCCACCCGCTGGGAAGAGTCTGATGTCCGCCCGTGTATTTACAATGGGCTGACAGCAAGTGGTTAAGTGATGCCTCTTGATACAATCATCATCATCTTCCTTCTAGTCATTTTAAATCAGTCCCTCCGGCGCTAGTGCCGGTCTCTGATCCAGCGCAGACTGCTGTCTCTTCCTGTTCCACGGAGTCTGTCTGGTGTACATACTGCATTGACTTACAGTATCTCTCCTCTTCTCCCCGCCTATGATCTCCACTGCGCCTGCATACATCCTCCTGCATGGCCGCTCGAGAAGCTGGATTCTGCAGCCGGGAGCGTTTGGCGGAGACAGGAGGTAAGTTTTTACCCATTTGGTAACTTTTTTTTCTTTAAAATGTTTTTGCATATATCTACTAGTTGCTAGCAGTAGATACATGTAAAAAAAATTGAGACTTTAATGTCACTTTAAGGTTGAACTCCCGTGCTTAGTGTCACTTTAACTCTAGGTGGTAGAGCAGGGGCGCCCACTATTTTTCGTCTGGAGATCTACTTTTCAAATGACGAGCTCATTGAGATCTACCAACGAAAAAACACCTGCATTCAGGGGCGGGAGGGGGCGTGGCGGTGCATTGAAGTCAATGGCACCGCAGCCAGGCCCCTCGCCCACAGTGCGATCGCCTGCATTAGTGCCTGTGTTCCAGTCCAGTACGATCCGCAAAAATGCTGCGAGCACTATTTTTGCAGATCGCACAGGACCGGAATGCAGGCACTTAATGTGCCTGCGTTCCGAGTGCGGGCGATCGCAATGTGGCCGATGCCATTGACTTCAATACAGCTCCACACCCCCTCCCTCACCTGAACGCAGGGAGTCGGCCGGCTTATATTCCAGTGCGCCCTACAGGTTCCGGCATCCTGTCCTCCCATGGTGCTCGTGGCCGACGTTGCACATGGGGTGTCCTGCACCTTTCCATCTGCAGCGTCTGACACATTCAGCCGGCAGCCGCACGAGCACCACGGGAGCATAGCCGTAGCCAGCTCCTTTTGCGCCTGAGGCAAGAAAAAAAACGTTCTTTTTATTTTTTACTATTTTCATTATTTATTTATTTTTAATTTTCGTAATTTTTTTTTTTTTTTAGCGATCGACCTTGTGGGCATCCCTGTGGTAGAGGAAGAGGTGATATTACTTCTTGTATTCCTTGCTCCGGCATTCTTCTCGACACTCCAGGACGTGAACGGTCCCACACCCAGAAGTAGGGCTGCAACAACTAATGGACATAATCGATTATAATCGATGATTGAAAAAGTTGTCAACTTTTTCAATCATCGATTAATCGGTTTCTGATTGGTTGGCCCTGTTCACGGCTCCACACACACTGCGCGCCACACTTCCTCCCCACCTCACGGTCGCCGCTGCCAGGCCCGCCCACCCGCGTTCACGCTCCACACGCCGCACCTCCTCACGATCACACCCCGCCCACATCCTCGATTGGCACAGGGACGCGATACGGGTAATTTTGAAGTGTCCATAGAGGGGATCTAACAGAAGGATCGGTCAAGGCAGGTAAAAGCAAAAATAACCTGCAGATGTGGTTGAGGGAATGGTCTCTTGCCAAGTATGCACATTATGGCAGACTTGCATCCATGGTTACCCTCCTCCAATGCTCCATTCTCAGCATCTCAGTCCTGCAGAGATGTAAGGGCCACAGAAGGAAGCACAGCATGTGGTGGGGGTTGTGGAGGGGTAGAGACTCCTACAAATCGGATGTTCTCCAGGCACCTTAGCTCTTAAAGAGAATGGAGATAGGTGGAGCAGGCGGTGGGGCAAAATAAGTTTAAGATCTGATTTTAAAGAGAGGCTTACTTTAACATTTAATATTGGAGAATGGGTACTATTCCACTGCCCTGCATCACTGTAAATCTCACGTTTTGCAGTGTACCTACATACAAAACTATGGAGTTGGGAATGGTTCCCCCTTTGTCAAGTTTTTATTGCGGTCTGTGTCCTCGGGGAGATTAACCTTCTCTATTTGCCCTGGTAAGCATTGGAAGCAATACAGAAACTGTCAGGAAAAACAACATTTTTAGAGTTGTCACCAGAACAGGAGGTTGTAGTAAAGCTGAATTAAAATAAAAAAAATAAAAAACATCAGGATTCCTCCATCCACACTAACAACCCCTGCCAAACAATCATATCCTGATAGCACTGGGTGGTCTGCAATACCTGAACAGAGACTGCAGCCGGCTGGCAGGCAATTTTGAACCCGGGTCCTTTTTTTTTCTCACATCAAAGTGAATTTTAACCAGTTCACCAAAAACTAACTGAAATTGTTTGTGTATGGACAGCTTAAACCCATTTCCACCTTTGCAGAAGTATTTTTTTTTAAACATAGGTCAGCAATGTACACAGAGGGTACATGAAGCAGGCATATGCAGCTGCTATATATGAACACAGAATCTTCCTTTTTTGTCCACTTATCTCCTCATGGCTCCTATTGGAAAGGCCGCCTTTGTGCTCCTCAAGCAGTCTGTAAATTAACAGTCGCTTTCTGAGCTCTCTCCTCCCATTCATTAATATTCATAGTGGCAAAAAATAAATGAACTACTTCCGGACCGCAGAAGTGGTTAAAACAAGAACACGGCCGTATTCTTGGTGTCGCTTTTAACAGCCAGCGATGGCTGTTAATGTACAAGCGATCCAGCGTCTATTCCTGCCCTCACCCCTGATGTCTCCATAAAGAGGACCTGTCACACCCTATCTGCTATTACATAGTGTGCTTGTTAGCCCACTATGTAATAGCAATAGGGTTAGTGTAAAAAAAAAA